TCCTAGATCTGGGGAAGGAGGGGCTGGAGGCCTGGATTCCTGGATCTGGGGGAGGAGGGGCTGGGGCGTGGGTTCCTGGATCTGGGGGAGGAGGGGCTGGAGCCTGGGCTCCTGGATCACTGCTGGGTTTGGGAGCAACACTCACCGGTGATAGGAGCTGAAGGATCTGAGGGCCCAGCCCTCATCCTGGATCTACTTCCTCCCTTTGTAGCCACAGCCAGTGACCCAGCAGGACCCAGCTATGCAGCTGCCACACTGCAGGCCTCCAGTGCTGCCTCCTCAGCCTCTCCTGCCTCCAGGGCAGTAGGCAGCACCTCCAAGGTGAGATCATCAGACCCTGGTGGGGCGGAGAAGGAGGCAAGAAGGTAGAGGCCTCACCTCATCTCACCCTCTCAGCCTCAGGAGTCCCCCAAAGGGAAGAGGAAGTTTGATTTGAACCAAGAAGAAAGGAAGACCCCTAGTAAACCGTCATCTCAGCCCTCACCATCTACCCTCAAGAAACCCAAATGTGAGCAAATTGGATTCCTCGTTCCGTAGGAGCCTGGGCTCCTGTGTTCTAGGGGAGGAGGGGCTGGGGGCTGGACTCCGGATCCAAGGGAGGAGGGGCTGGGGCTTAGTCCCAGGAGCGCTGACTGAATCTATTCTTTGGCTTTCCCAGTGACAGCACCCACTCGTACCCCAGCCACCACCTCAGTCGCTGCCCCAGCACGCGGGGCAGGTCTAGGGAAGCCCCGAGGAGAAGGCACTGAGCCCAGGGGACCCCGAGCTGGCCCGCAGGAGCTGGGGAAGATCCTTGAGGGTGTGGTGGTGGTGCTGAGTGGCTTCCAGAACCCCTTCCGCTCAGAGCTCCGGGACAAGGCCCTAGAGCTGGGGGCCAAGTACCGGCCAGACTGGACTCCTGACAGCACCCACCTCATGTAGGCCTGCGCCCTCCTCCTCCCTACCTGCCTGCTGCTTCTCCTCCTGCTCCCCCTGTCTCCTCCATCTTGCTTGCTTTCTGTCTCCCTGTCTGCCTCCTTCCCTCTCTCTCCCCCTCTCTGTCTCTTCAGCTCCCTGTATTATATCCTCTGCCTTGTTTCCTCTCTGATTCTTACATCTTTCCCTCAGACTCCATGTCTTTTTCTGTTGCTCCTGTATCTGTCTTTCTCTCTCTCCTTCTTCCTCTCTCTGTCCCCTTTATTTCCTTTTTCCCCTTCACCCCTCAATCACACCTGACGCCTCCGTTCTGCTCCCCCCAGCTGTGCGTTTGCCAACACGCCCAAGTACAGCCAGGTCCTAGGCCTTGGAGGCCGTATTGTGCGTAAGGAGTGGGTGCTGGACTGTCACCGCATGCGTCGGCGGCTGCCGTCCCGGAGGTGAGGCCTCATGGCACGTGTGTGGTATACACATGTGCACAGACACACAGACCCTGCCCCTCATCCCTGTGCTGGGCAGTAGTAGGGATCTGGGGCGAAATCGGATGGGGGCCTGCCAGGGGAGAACACAGGCGGCCGAGCCCAGAGTCAGCTGACCTCTGAGAGGAGGAGGAGGAGGGGCAGGGGCTGGGAGACACACAGGAGGGAGCGAGGACTTGCCTGGGGGTTCACGGAGGGCTCTGTGCAGTCTGCGTATGGAGAAGGAAAAGAACATTGCAGGCTGAAAAAACAGAATGCATAGAGGCTCGGGCTGGAGAACGGAGTGTTGGGGCCTTTTTAGATTCATTCCAGAAGCCCCTGCTTGGTGTCAGGCTGGGCTGTGCAATGCTGGGCACCCAGACGTCAGATCTTGACTGTGAAGGCCTCTTACTTTGATGAGGGGCCAGGTTTGTTATAAAACAGTGTGGAGGAAGGCCCAAGGGGAGACCCCAGTGAGCAGGGGTTGGGGGGGCAGTGTCTTCAAGGACAAGAAGAGGTTTACCAGACTGAACAGGCAGAGAGCATGCTGGGTGGAGGAGCCACGGTTGGGGTCAGCCTGGTGTCTGCCTGGAGAGGTTGCCGGTGGGAGGAGAAAGTGGCAGGAAAATGAGGTGGGGGCAGCAGGAGCCATGGTAGGCTTTGGAGCTGGAGACGGGCGGGCTCCGATCGGAGGCCTGTGGATCGGAAGGAAGACTTGAGTCGCACTCCGTAGGAGGGAAGAGCATACCTACCAGCGTGTGTTCAGAATTGGGGCTGCACCTGGTGTATTTGAGAGACGATCTGTGTTTGTTGGGGAAAAGGTGAAGGTGGAGGCGGACGCTGGGAGGTAGGTGAGGTCAGCTCAGAAGGGCTTTTGGTGCCTGGCAGAGGCACTGGGCTGTGGAGGCCCACAGACCCCTCTTCTGTAGTTCAGTAATCCCAACATCTCTGGGCCAAGAGTGTTTTCCTAGGTTTAGCACAATCTCACTTGGCTGCATGATCATCCTGAGCTGATGTGAGGCTATTTATGGACTATTTATCCCATTGAGTTTGTCATCATATTTATTACAGAAATATGCATGGTTTTGATTCACAGGCCACTCTTTCCTCCCTTCCCCACCCCCACCCCTGGGAGGTGTGATATAACCATCTGTACACCACCATTTGCCTCTCTAAAATCGGAAAAACTCAAAATTCTGAAACCCATCAGGCTCCAAGGGTCTCTCTGTGAGCAATGGGGAGCCACGGAAGGTTTGAGAGGGGCAGGAGCCGGCTCTGTTGTGGGGGGTGGAGTGTTGAGGGAGGCTGAAGGTGGGAACCCTGGAGGAGATTGGGGCCTTGGGGACAGAAATGGAATGAGTTGGGGATATATTTAAGGACATAGGAGCAGGGTTTGGATTATTGTTTGTCTGGGAGAGGTGAAAGAGTGCGTGGAAGAAAAGGCAACGAGACAAACTGTATTTGCATCAGGGTTTTGACCAAAAAAATAAATTCAGAAAGCATTTTGTATTTTAAAAATTTGATGATGGAAGGAAGATGGGAGATGGATTTTCCCACAATAATTACAAATTGAGTTTTAAAAATCTTTTAATTCAAGACTTAAGGAATCTTTAAAGAAAAAGCTGAGTAAACCCACCATGAATTCTTCAGTCAATGGCTACACTTTAAACCCTCTGAATTTCCCATGAGCCATTGCTTTACAGTGAGTGTAATGCACCTGAAGTGTTTCACCAGCTTTTTTTAATTTAATTTTTTTTTTAAAGCTCAGCCATCCTGCCACCTGTTGGCAGCTTAGCGGCTGCTCAGCTCAGGCCGGGAATCAAACCGCTGTTGCTCAGAGGTCAAACTCTTGAGCTCAGAGGTCAAACTCTTGAGCGAGCTCTTAACCAGCTGAGCCACTCGGCCAGCCCTCACCAGCTTTGAAATAACCAAATCATGAGCAGAAGGGTCTTAAAGTGCATACCAGGAAAGTAAAGCCAACACGTTCATTTGCTTCTGCTGTGTACTTTGCCCTGTGATTTGGATCAAGTTAATTAATCTCTCTGTGCCTTAGTTTCCTCACCTGTGAACTGGGGCTAAAATTAGCATCTACCTCAGGATTCAGTGACTCCTTCTTAAGTGTTTAGAACAGTGCTTGGCACATAGGAAATCTCATGTAAGTGTTAGCTGTTATTATTAGAACTAGGAGAATTCTTTTTTTTTGAAGTGTCAGCAGCTTAAGGAACGATGAATTATAGATAGTATCAAGGTCTTTAAAAAATGTATTTGCTTTTGGGAATTTTCCCTTAATTGGTAGGCATTCTCCCAATGAGAAACTGACTGATTCTCGAAGGGGAAAACGATTTCTGATTTTTTTTCCTTTCTGAAATGGAGCATTTCTTCCCCAAGAGGGAGGGGCAGCCAGGGAGTGCTCAGGTCTCCTGTGTGGGAGGCTGGGGTGACTGAGGGTCAGGGGGGGCCTTCTGCAGCTCGGAGGAGGGGCAGGCTGAAGGTGGCCATGGTTGCGACCCTGGTATTCAATAAATGCCAGTGGCTGTTGCTTCCCAAGCATCCCCCCGACCTGCCCCGGGGGAGACTCTGTGCTGTTTGTCTGAGGCCCAATGCCTCCCCTAGGTACCTCATGGCAGGGCCAGGCTCCAGCAGCGAGGACGAGGGGGGCCCTCACAGCGGCAGCAGCGGGGATGAAGCCCCCAAGCTTCCCCGAAAGGTCCGATGCCCCCTGCGCTGGTGGGGGAGGGTTAGTGGGAGGAGGACATGGGTCGGTTGTGGTCCCCAAACTCGCCACTCTTGCCTTCTGCGGGCACACAACCCCCGACACACTCACACGCACCCTGCCTCTTCCCTCTCACTGACTCACCCTCCCTCCTCAGCGCCCCCAGACCAAAACCAAGCCCCCTCAGGCAGCAGGACCCAGCTCACCCGAGAGACCTCCAACCCCAGATGGGACCAAACCAGGCTTACCAGGGGCCCAGGAAGATATAGATACTGAGGGACAGCAGTCAGGTCAGAGCCTGAGAGAGGAGGGGCTGGGGGCCTGGACTCCTGGGTCTGAGGGAGGAGGCGTTTGGGGGCCCCAATAACTGGATCTGGAGGGCAATTGAGGTTGGGGTTTGGGATGCTTGTGTGAGACTGGGCAGGAGGGTTACCAGTCTTCCTAGAAGATAAGGCAGATGCCTCACATTGACTAAGCTTCCACTCGCAGAAGGACAGGACAGTGGGGCAGAAGATTCTGGGGACACCGACGATGAGCTGAGAAGGTAGGGTCGGGGCTGGGGGTCCTGGCCTCGGGTGGAGGGGATCTGGTCTGCATGCTCTCCCCCCACCCCTCTTGGCGTCCCCAGGGTGGCTGAGCAGCAGGAACAAAAGCGGCCCGCTGGCCACGGGGAGAATGGTGAGGACCCATACGCGGGCTCCACGGATGAGAATACAGACAATGAGGGTCCCCCGGAGTCTCCCAATCTTCCGGTCCCCGAGCTCCCAGGTAGGAAATCCCTCCCTCCCTCCTGAAGTGGGACCTGTCCCTCTCGTTCTCAGCTGTGACTTGCCCCCGCCAGCTCTGGGACCGCTATCGCCTGCCCTGTGACTTGTCTCCCCGTTGCCTTTGCCCGCTCCTTGCTCCCTTAGGCCTATTCCCTTCCCTTCTACATCCTCTTGTCACTTCCCTCTGTTCCCCTCTTGACTTCGTGCTGTGACCACCTCCATCCCAGCCCAGCGCCAGGCCTGACCCGCTTTGGCTCCACTCCACGTGTGAATAGCCCCTCCCTCACCCCAGGCTTCAACCTCCCTCGCTTCAGGATCACCTGGGGGGCTTTCAAAATCTTCATATGCCCAGGCCTCACCCCCCACGTTCAGTTTTGTCAGGGTAGGGTGGGGCCTGACACACACATGATGTGGGCGCTGATCTCTGTTGGGACCTGGGTGGTGTTGACATTGTTGTTTGTCACCCCAGACATGAATGCGGGGGGGGGTCATTGGGTGGAGGCCAGGCATCAGAGCCTCTGCTGGTGGAGAATGGAGAGAGAAACCAGGCAGCCCAAGGGCTGAGCGGAGGTGAAGTGCAGTGGCCGCTAGAAGAAGCTGTTTCCACTGGTTCCTCGTGGGTGATGGGCAGGAAAGTACTTTGATCCTGCAAAGCCTCCAAAATGGCACCAGCAAGTTGATGGCCTGGAAAGCCAGGTTGAAATGGAACGAAGAGCCATCCTCAAAGTAAGGGCCGGAGAAGGCACTTAGTTGAAAATGAGAAAGATCGTCTAAGTGAAGAAGTAGCTGGCTAGTTTCCAACCCGGCCAAGCTCATTAAGTGGCACCAGCCCCTGTGTGATGGTCTTCGTGTAAGAAACACGTTGTAATCACCGTTTAAGCAAAAAGAAAAAAACAAAGAAACAAAAACTCCCCAGGCTGTTGAGGGTAAAGATTTTACAAGGCGCTGCTGGGCCTAGCCAGGAACCGCTGCTTGTCACCCCGCCAGCTGTGCGTGAACACCCTGCCCAGCCGCTGGCCCTGCTGGCCCTGCTGTCTTGCCTCCAAGTGTTCTGTGGCTCCTGGCTGGTGCCTTGGAACTCCAGGGCCCTCACCTTGGCTTATCCACCGTCTCCCCACAGACTTCTTCCAGGGCAAACACTTCTTCCTGTATGGAGAGTTCCCTGGGGACGAGCGGCGGAAGCTCAGCCGCTATGTCACAGCCTTCAATGGGTCAGTCTCTAGGGGGTGGGGAGAGGGTATGTTAGGTTGTGGGAAGGAAGGTGATTGGGAGGGTGGAGAAGGGGCGTGCCCTGCAGAATGGGCACAGGCCATGGAGTTCATTGCCAGCCCTGCCCCCTGTGCTGGGCAGCTCTGCTACATAGCTTCCCCTCAGTTTCCTCTTCTCTAAAGTGGGGTTCTCTGGCACTTTTCTGAAAGGATTAGTGACAGTGGGAGCTTTTGGTATTGTGGGTGTGGCAAGGCTGGCACATGGGAGAATGGGGGATCCACAGGCCTCTGAGCCCCTAGGGAACATAGGTGGAGAGAGGTGAGGACGGATGGCCTTTGAAAATGGTTGGGGAGTGGGGTGTCAGCAGAGGGGACACTGATTCTCGGCTTCTTTTCTTCTCCCACCAGGGAGCTCGAGGACTACATGAGTGACCAGGTCCAGTTTGTGATCACAGCACAGGAGTGGGACCCCAGCTTTGAGGAGGTGAGTCCAGAGGGGCAGGGGAAGGGAGAGCCAGCCTGCCCTTGCATCGCCTCCATCCCCTCCTCGCTCACACGTGCACCCTCCCCGCCAGGCCCTGATGGACAACCCCTCCCTGGTGTTCGTCCGCCCCAGATGGATTTACAGTTGCAATGAGAAGCAGAAGTTACTTCCTCACCAGCTGTATGGGGTGGTGCCCCAGACTTGAATGAACACACACACACACACACACACACACACACACACACACACACGCACACACACGCGCACACACACGCACGGACACATGCACACAACATGCGCACGCGAGTTTAATAAAGATAACTTGGTTTGGAGCTGCTGCTGCCCCTCACTCAGGAGTCTTCCAGAATCTCCAAGAGGCTCCATCTTTCTGTCTTATGTTTGGTTTTTGCTTCCTCTCTGAGGGCCAGGTTTCCTGGCTGCCTGAAGACTCCTGTCCTGGGGTCCTGGAAAGAATGAGGGGCTCTCTATTCGGGCTCTCTATCAGGGGTCTGATAGGGAAGAATTTCTTTGTCACTCCTCCCTGGCCTCTCAGCCCTATGGTAGCACCTGACAGGGAATTGGGAATGTGACACTCAGCCGGTTCTGACCCTCTGAGCCCGTTCTTGGGTCTTAGTCCTCCCTCTGCGGGTCCTGGGTTGGAGGCCTGGGTGCTCATGAGGTGTGCCTCTCTCTTGAAGTCTCCGCCGCTCCTGGCCAGGGATGTCTCCCTTTCTTCAGGCCTTTCAGAAGTAGCTCTGTGGGCCGGCCGAGTGGCTCAGTTGGTTAAGAGGTCGCGCAAGAGTGCGAGCTCTGAGCAACAGCGGTTTGATGCCCGGCCCGAGCTGAGTTGCCGCTGAGCTGCCAACAGGTGGCAGGATGGCTCAGCTAAAAAAAAAAAAAAAAGAAGTAGCTCTGTAACTGTCAGCAGCATGGTTTTACATCACCATTCAGGAGGTAGAAAGAGGGGAAGGAACATTTTAATCAACCCACCCAAATCCTTAACCCCTTCAGGAATCCACCACATTTAAGGTAGGAGCTGAACAGGCTGTTAGAGAATCGGCAGAAGATGGGATGGAGCTTGAGGCAGGAGTCTGTGACTGGGACAAAGGCCAGGAAATGGGAACTATCAATAGCCTGGTGCCTGGGAGCAACTGAAAGAGATTGGCACCTTCAGTGAAGAGGCTTTGGGAGCAGATCTGGCTGGAAAGGTGGGCATAGTCCTTGCAGCTGGCAGCCACTGGACATGGGTAAACTGCAATGAAATGAAAGGAAAAATTCACTTCCACAGTCACACTGGCCACATTTCAAGTGCTCAGTGAACACTACTGGACAGCTCAGAACATTTCCATCACTGTAGAAAGCAGGCAGGCTGTCCTGAAGGGCTGTCAACGCCAGGCCAAGAACGTTGGACTTTTCCTGGGGCTGAGGGAGTTAGGAAGGGGTTTGAGCAGCACAAAGGGCAGAGTCATCTGGGTTTGAGATCTGCCCTTGGAGTAACTTTCTCTTGGACATTTCAGGCCTTTCCCGAACTTGTGCCTCACTAGCTAACCAAAGGCCACCAATCTCAATCCTTTCCCTTTTTTAAAAAAAGATTTTTATTGGGGAATTGGGGGATGGGAACTGCGCTGGGGAATTGGGGCAAGGGGAACAGACAAGTTGCTGTCCTTTTGTTCTTCAGTCTAGTTGTGGAGGACGTTGCTTCACTGGCCCAAGTTGGCACCATCATTGCGCTCTTCCCGGGCGAGGCAGATCAGTCGCCAGCTTCTGGAGGGCCGCTCACGCTGGCTGCTGGCTACACACAGTAGCCCATGGCAACCCACTGCAGCAGTGGCTGCAGCCTATGCCATTGCTGGCAACTCCAGGTAGAGCTGTTGTTCAGCATCTCAGCTGTAGAGGGCAGTGTCACTGACCCTCATATGTTGGATCCTAACCGGGGTCCTCTGGCATCCCAAACCAGCTCTTAACCAATGCGCCACTCGGCTGGCCCAATCCTGTTCCTTTCTTGACCTTTGTTTGAAGGTGGTATTAGATTGCATTCACTCATTTGTTCATTCATTCACACACGTACTGATCACTTACTGTATTAGTTTCCTATTCATGCTGTAGCAAATTACCACAAACTTACTGTCTTAAAAGAAATTTATAATCTAGGTCTGGAGGTCTGAAAGCAGAAATGGGTCTCACTGGGCCAAAACGTCCCGGTGTTGGCTGGCCTGTGTTTCTTTTGATGGCTGTAGGGGAGAATCTGCTTTCTTGGCTTTTTCAGCTAGCAGCTGCCCACATTCCATTCCCCTTCCATAGTCAAAGGCAGCCAAGGCCAGGAGTCTTTCTCACAGCTCACCACAGACACTGAACCTTCTGTCTCCTTCCACGTTTAAAGACTTGTAATTACATGGAGCCTGGATAATCTGAGTTAATCTCCCTGTTATAAAGTCAGCCAATTAGCAGCCTTAATTCCTTCTACCTTAATTCTCCTTGGCCATATAACCTATTCATAGGTTCCAGGGACACCTGTGGGAGGCCATTGTTCTGCCTACCACACCCACCATGAGTGAAACATGGGCTGCAGTGTGAAAGAGACAGCTGTCCATGCTCCCATGGGGCTGACATTCTGCTGGGGGGTGTGGGGGGGAGACTGTATGGCAGTGTTGGGCAGTGATGAGGGGCAGGGCAGGGTGGGGATAGTTTAGATAGGGTCATAGGAGAAGGCGTCTCAGAGGACTTCCCCCTCTGCAGGGACTTGGGAGAAGGGAGTGTCAGGAAACCAGTCCAGGCGGAGGAAAAGCAAGTGCAAAGGCCCTCAGGCAGAACATGTGTGAGGAGCAGCAGGGCGACAGGGCATCCAGAGGCCCAGGATCCACCCTGACTCAGCATTGCCCCATTGATGGGTTGTGGCCCAATCCCATCTCGTGGCTTCAGTTTCCCCATCTGTACAAGGTAAGGTTGAACCAGATCAACACCTCTCAGATGAGTTTGTGACCTTGAAGCTTTGATGGTGGTGGTGGTTGCTTTGGAGGAAATCTCCCCAGGCAGCTCTGTATGTAAACGGTATAATTGTGCTGCCAGGTGTGGAGGAAGGACTTGCACCCTTACCCACCCTCAGGGCCTTGCTGTGTGGCCTGCAGCCCAGCAGCGTGCTTGTTTCCATTTGCCTGCTTGGTTCCAGCCCTTATGCTGGAGAGTCCACAAACCATCTCAGTCCATCCTCCACACCTTTCTGATCACAGCTCATTACGTCCTCAAGAAGGCCTTTCCTAACCTTTATAATAGTATATGCAGGGTGGCCAGTTAGCTCAGTTGGTTAGAGTGCAGGCTCATAACACCAAGGTTGCTGGTTTGATCCCCACATGGGCCATTGAGTTGTGCCCTCCACAGCTAGGTTGAAACACTTACTTGACTTGGAGATGATGGGTCCTGGAAAAACACACTCTTCCCCAATAAAAAAATTTTTTTTTTTAAAGTATATGCTAGGTATACACTCATAGTGCTAACAATTTGTTTATGGCCAAACTTACCAGTCTTCCTCTATAATTTGCACTTTTTGTGTCTTAAAGATTCTTTTGCAACCTCTGAGGTTACTAAGATATACTCCTTCACTTCCATCTAAATGTTTTAGAGCTTTGTGTTTCAAATTTAGATTTTAAATCTCTAGAAACTTATTAGTGTATGGTGTGAGGTAGGGATCTGCATTAGTTTCCTATTGCTGCTGTAACAAATTACCACATTTTCTTATAGTTCTGGAGGTTAGCAGCCCAATGTCAGCCTCAGTGAGCCAAAGTCATGATGTCGGCAGGCCTGGGTTCCTTCTGGAGGCTCTAAGGGAGAATCATTTCCTTGACGTTTCTAGCCTCTAGAGACCCCTGGCCCAACATCCTAGTCTCTGCTTCCATTGGTACATCTCCTCAGGCTCTTCTGTTTTTCCCCCGAATAAGAACTCGTGATTACATTGGGCCCACTGGAATAATCAGGATAATCTCCCCGTCTCAAGATTAGATCCTTCATCACATCTACAAAGTCCTTTCTGTCATGTGTAAGCTAACATACCTGGTTCCGGGGATTAGGGTGTGGACATCTTTGGGGGACCATTATTCTTCCTACCACAGGATACCATTTAATTTTTTTCCATCTCAGCTCACAGATTAGTCCTTTCTCCACTCATCTACAGCAGGGGTTGGCAAACTACAGTCCATTGGCAAATCCAGCCCACCTACTATTTGTGTAAATAAAGTTTTATTGGAACACAGCCACATTCACTTACGTGTCATAATGTGTGTGGCTGCATTTGCGCTATAATAGCCGAGTTGGGTAGTTGTGGCAGATGCTGTATGGCCTGCAGAACCTAAAAATACATACTATCTGGCCCTTGACAGAAAAAGTTTGCCAAGTCCTGATCGACAGGTGGGGGTTGTTACGTTAGGACCAGAGCTTCCCTACTTGTTCTTAAAAATGGACTTTGATTCTTAATTTTTGCCACTACTTGACTAGCGTCCACTTTCCTCACTAGATCAGCTCTGTCTTGTTTACTGCTGTGTTCCCAACACCCTGTGCAGGTCCCAGCACACAGTAGGTGCTTAATACATATATGTAGAATGAAGAGCAGTCTAATGTTAGCTCGATCATCTTATTTTATAGTGGGAGAAACTGGCTGTAAGAAGGGAACTGACTTGGCCCAAAATGATGCTTGTGTCCAAGGGCCTTATAACACTCCCATTTTATAGATAAGGCATCTGAGTCTAGAGAAGTGACAAAGCTTGTCCAAGGCTGTGTAGCTCATACATAGTGGGTCAGGGCTGGCTCCAAAGCTTGGGCTTTACAATTTTTTCATACTATCAGTAGTATACCTTTTCTGCTTTTATCATTTGGCATATCTTGGGAATCTTTTCACATTGGTACATATGGGGCTGACTTTTTCCTACAGCTATGGCTGTAATTGTAATTCATTAGCTGGTCCCCTATTGATGGACACTACCAAAGATGGGTTTTCCATCTTAGGGCACAACTGTCACGCTGCAGTGAACATCCTTGCCCTTATGCCTTGTTCACATGCTTGAGTTTACAGGATAAATTCCTAGAAGTGGAATAGTTGACAGGAGCATGTGTACATTTTAAGTATTTTATAGATACAGTCAAATGGCCAAAATGGAGGCACCAATTTAATTTATAACAATGAGAGACCTTGTTTCACCACATTCCTCACTAACCCACAATGCTAGCAAACTTTTTACCTTTGCCAAATGAATAGGTGGGAAAAACCAGAGGCAGGGCTTTCAAACTACAGCTTCAGGTCCATGGTTTGGGGCTCAACGTTAACTCTGTGGCTGAAGACTTCCCTTCCCCCCAAAACGGGCGACCAAAGAGTTCCTCTGCCTTTTAAATTTGAGCCCAGTGTGAGGGGCCAACATCCCTGCCAGCTAGAAGAGGCAAGTCCATACAGCCTGGTTTGGAAATGCCACCTCTTTATTGACCGGGGCTCGCTGCAGAGGGGGCCAGTGAGCCAAGGGGAGGGCTCACTCCCGTTCTCCCTGGTTCTCAGCCTGGTGGTGGCTGCGTTGGTGAAGGAGCAGGAGGCGTTTCTGGCCAAAGGCCTGACCGCAGCTGGAGCAGCGATGCCGCGTGGTGGCCTGGTTGCCTGGTGCGGTGGGGGGGTCGTGACATAGGCGATGGGCGGCCAGTTTGGAGGGGAATGAAAAAGCCTTGGGGCAGTGCGGGCAAGGATAGGGGCGGGCATCGGTGGCATGGTGCGTGTGGCGGTGGGCTGCCAGCTTGGAGGGGTAGCAGAAGGACTTGGAGCAGTCAGGGCACGGGTAGGGGCGGGAGGGCGCATGGGTCCAGAGGTGGGCTGCTAGCTTGGAGCGGTGGCCGAAGGCCTTTGGGCAGTGGGGGCATGGGTGCGGGCGGGCGCCGCTGTGCGTGAGGCGGTGAGCAGCCAGCTTGGAAGGATAGGAGAAGGCCTTGGGGCAGTCAGGGCATGGGTGGGGGCGGGCGCCACCGTGTGCCAACCGATGCGTGGCCAGCTTGGACGGGTAGGAGAAAGCTTTGTCACAATCGGGGCAGCGGTGCGGGCGCTGGGGCGGGGGCCTCCTGCGGGGTCGAGAAGGCTCCCCCGCAGATGCATCAGGCCCAGGAGCCAACTGGCGGGGCTTCTTCGGCGAACCCTGGTGGGAAACTAGGGGACAGAAGGGCTGGTGGGCTCCAGGCAGCAGCCAACGTTCTGAGTCTATGCCAGGCTGCCCCCACCCCTGCGCGCTTTGATATTCGAGTGTATCTGCAAGTATCATACTGAGATCCCCCAAATGGCATCCATTATTCTAAGGGGCTCAAAGGGTTACCTACGTGAATTGCCAAAGCTAAGTCTTCCCCAAAGCTACTTAGGTATCTGCTTTTATTACCTTCCCAAGTGATAACCCTGAAATACCTCATGTTGTCCTCCCTGCCCTTCTCATTTCCTGAGCCCTAGAAATGTCACTGAGGGTCTCCCAAAACCAACCAGGAAGATTCCCCAGAACATCACAATTGGGGGTATCCCAAATGGTCATCACCCTGGGCTCTCAAACTTTCACCCTGAGAGTCCCTCAAAATGTGATTCTCTTAGCCCCAATTCCTGGAGAGTGCCCCTCCCTCAACCCCCCAGGCGTGGCCGCTCTCACCTCCTCCTTTGGTCACTGGTTCCTTGCCAGAAGGATTAGGATCTGTTGCCTCGGCCGCGGACTCCGCATCTCGCTCCAGCATCTTGCTGGTCCAAGAACCTAAAGGAAGGAGGGCCTAGGGCGGGGGAGGGGGCGACGCTTGTGATTATCAAGCTGATGGGGATAGAGCTGGATGGGGATAGAGGTGGGCCTAAAATCAGGGGTCCGTTTGTTTAGAAGCGGGGTCTATTTAAGTCTGGGATCCTAAAGCAAGGGCGATAATGGCGGAAAGGGGGGGACTAAAGCACAATGGGCGGGGCTATGCAAATCTGACCTAGAGGCATTCCCTTTGCAACTTGGACCTAAGGTTGGAGCTTCGGAGTGGAGTAGCTGGGCCTCTGCAACTTAATTCAGAAGTCCTATGCGCGGGGTGAGCGGGGCCCCTATGTCCAGAGTGAGCGGAACTTCCCCCCCAGAACCTCCCAGCCAAGGTACCTCCGACGAGAATGGGCGGAGCCACACAAATAAGATCCCAAGTCGGCTGCCCAGCAGTTCAGACCCAGGGGAGGGGCCTAAGAGCTCAGTGGGCGGGGTTTCACGTCGAAGAGGCAGCTTTACCCGGTTTTTGGCTTAGTCTCAGTCCATTGACGACGCCTGGATTGCTAAATTTCTTCCTTGCTGCTAAATTTCATCCCCGGCGTGGAGTTAGGGCCGTGGAGGGTAGAGGGGAGACCTGGAGGAAGACACAGAAGGAACGTGGCGTGTGTTGCGATCCAGAAACCCCCTAATGGACCCAAGCGTCCGGCCTCAATGAACCCCTTGGGATCATGGCATTCGGGCACCAAAGCACCTCCGCAAGGCTCAGTCACCGATGCAGTCCCTCCGGAACCTATGCATCAGTACCCCAATAGATCCCCCGCCGGGAGTTCCTAGCGTTCTGCCCCTAATCCATTTCCCGAAGACCCCAGGAGTGTGGACCCAGATCCCTGCACTCTCACCTGCGGACTGCCCCTCCCCGGGGGCGGGGCTCCGGGCCCCTCCCGCGGCGGCCGCGGCCGCAGCCGCGCTGTCCTCCGACGCGGCGGAGTTGCGCTGCCCGCCGCGCGCCCAGCGACGGGAGGGGAGGGGAGGGAGCGCGCGAGAGCGGCTCGGCCCAACCTCATTTCCATTCCCTCCTCCCACGCCTGGCCGGTGGGGGCGTCAGTACGCGTGCGCAGTCGCGGCCAGTGGAGGCTGCGGCGGGGGAGACGGAATAGGAGAGGGTGGGTGCACAACACAGGCAAGTTGGTGAGCAAGCGCGGAACCACCGGCCGAAGGACCGTAGGAAAATGTACAGCAGCTTGCGGGGCCTACGGTGGCTGACTGGAGTCAAGCACATGCAGGCGCTAACACGGAGAAGCTGCGCTTAGACCTATCATTGAGACAGCACCCAGCACAGGCACCTTCCCTTTTCTGTGCCCCCACTTCTTTTCGAACATTCCGCAGGGAGACTGAATTCTGTCTCCCGGAGCAGTTTTAAAAGCTGGCTGCCCATTCCGCCCCTCAAGGCGTTTGTTTGAAAAAAAAAAATGTCTGGCTAATTCCTGGAAAGAGAGCGGAGCAGGGCTCCAGACCGAGCCGACGCCTAATAAAAGGCACGTTATTTGCATAGTGCCCCAGCACCCGTGGCCATTGGGTGATTCAAGATTCTCAGCCTCTCACACCCCAGTGCTACGGCCCAGCGGAAGGGGTCGGGGGCAGAGTCTCGACGTGCTCAGGCCCGTGTTCCCGAAAGGGCCGGAGCTCCTGGTGCCACGCCCGGGGTCGCATGCTTGGCACCTTTCCACGGGCAGTGACGGTGCACATTCCCGCGCAGTACTGGAATGACTGTGAAGTGCCGATAAAAGTCTCCTGCATGGGTGGGAGCAGCGATGATAACCCAGGGCTGGTGAGGCTTGGGAACCTGGGGAGTTAGTTATACGGGAGGGGTTATTTGGACTCGAGCCAGATTGCCTGGGTAACTGGTTTAGAATCTTGACTCTGCCACTTTCTAGGTGTGCGTTCTTGGGCAAGGCACTTCATCTTTCTGGGCCTCAGGTTCCTCATCTATTCAGTCGAGGGTTGTTAGAATTAAATTACGTAATCAATGGAAACGGTTTAGAACAGTGCCTACAGTACCCGGTAAATGTTACCAACACTGCGTTTTGGGTTTATTGTGCATTAAACTAGGTCATGACAGGGGCAAGTTTGTCCCAGGAACAGCAAGTGCACAGACCTCAAGGTGGGAAGGAGAATGCGGTATTCAGGGTATATCTCCCATGACGTCATGCCATGCTTCACATTCACTGACCTTCAAGTTCTTGTACTTGCCATAGTCAGTCCTACCTCAGGGCCTTTGTACTAGCTGGCCCTCTGTCCCCAAGGCCCTTCTTCCATCAGTTTGCTTGCTGATTGCCTCCTCAGATCTCAGCCCAAATATTACCACTGCAGAAGGCCTCCCCTGCCCACCCTAGCTCATGGAGCCCCCTTCCCTCCATTACTCTGTTGCCCTCTCCCCCGCTTGTATGCACTTAACAATATATGCTTTGTTAAAATGGACAACTTTTCTGTCTCATTCATCTCTCTGTCCCCAGCATACACAACAGCGCTAAGCACATATTAGGTGTTCAATAAATCTATGTCAAATTAATGCTTGGAAGAATTAACACCCAGGAGAACCTCTGTGATGGGAAGGTAGAATGATGGGGAAAATGCAGAACTTGAGGTCAAGGAGTTGCAAGAGTCCTAAGCTGAATGGGAAACCAAGGGAGGGTTTTAAACACTGGAAGTAACATGAACTAGTTTGGATTTTCATATACTCTTTTTTAAAATCATATGTTTACATTATGGAAAATTTCAAACTTATACAAAAGGAGAGGGAGGGGAAGAGTGTAATTAATGCCCATATACCCATCACTCATGTCCAATCTTCTTTCATCATCCCCTCAACACCCCTCCTTGACTCCACTGAATTATTTTGAAGCAAATTCCAGATATTTTGCTCAGAAGCACTTCAGCCTGTGTCTTTAAAAAATAAGGACTCTCTTTTAAACGTAACAATAATATTGCTATCACATCTTTCAAAATTTAGAGTCGTTTCTTCACATTATCGCATATCCCATTGTATTCAAATTGCCCCTATGGTCCCGTGAACAGTGCGGGTTTGAACTTTGTGTGGGTCAATCGAAAAAAATCTGTGTGTAAGTGGATCCTGTAGTTCAAATTCACATTGTTCAAGGGTCAAATGTAGTTTTTTTTCCTTTCCAAGCACAATGTTTTACTTTATTTCAAACACACAGAAAAATCAAGAGGGTAATAGAACTGTTCTCTGCATTAATAATAGAATTGAGGGCCGGCCGAGTGGCTCAGTTGGTTAAGAGCTCGCTCAAGGGTTTGAGCTCTGAGCAACAGCGGTTCGAGTCCCGGCCTGAGCTGAGCAGCAGCTGAGCTGCCAACAGGTGGCAGGATGGCTCAGCTTAAAAAAAAATTAAAAAAATAAAAATAATACAATTGGTCAGTGTCAACAATTATCCAGTCATGGCCAATGTTGTTTTATTCCCCCCACCCCAGGGGAATTTGGAGCTGTATGACAGACATCATATCCCATAAATATATTTTTATTACACTTGGTTTGTTTGAATCAGGAGCTAAACAAGATTCACACATTGTATTTATGTGGTGTGACTCTTCAGTTTCTTTTTCATTGACATTTTAAAAAGCGCACTCTGGCTGCTGCATGGAAAATAGATTGTAGGGAAGCAGAGTGGGAGCCAGAAGCCCAGTGAGGCGGCTGTTATATATATATGATATAATATTAATTATATATAAGTAATATATAAGTTATATATAACTTATAATACTAATTACCAGCTTTTATTTAGCACTTATTATATACCAGGGTGATTTATATCAATGTCCCTAGTGATTTCTATGCATTCATTCATTTAATCCTACAGCAACTTTTTAAGAGGAAACACTGCTATTATCCTCATTGTACAGAAGAGGAAAGTGAGGCAGAGAGTGGTGAGGTCACTTATCCAAGGTCACACAGCCAGGAAGTAGCAAGGCCAGTATTTGAAAGCTGTAGCTTGGCCCTGGAATCCAGGTAATTTGCATTTATGCTTTGCTGCCTCCTGACTGGGGCAGAGGGTGTGTTGCTGGAAAAGTGGCCTGATTGGAGAGGTTAACTCAGCAGAGCCTAAGGATGAAATAGGAGGAGGTGGCAAGACTAGGAAGGAGTCAAGGATGGTGATGAAATAGATAGCCAGCTTCCCTTGAGAGCTTGTTCTGTGCTAAGTACGGCCCCAAACTCTACATGTGTGAACTCATTGGATCTTCACAATGAAGGAGGAACTATTTTTAAACCCATTTTACAGATGAGAAAACTGAAGCCCAGAAGAGGGTGAGTTTTGAGCCATAGGTCACACAGCTGGGAAGAATGACGCCAAAGTTTCTGACTCTTAGAACATATGACAACTGACCCTACAAAAAACCCAGAGGGTGTGCTTGTCTTCAAGGGGCAGGTTAGAAGTCTAGCAATCCTGCAAAAACAACAGGAATGGGCCCCAGGGTTGAGGAAGTTTTATTTGGGGAACCCTCACAGTAATGAGTACCCGAGGGTTCCTATTTTCCTGGTTCCTTTGTCCTCTGAGCCCCTGGCAGTCTCAGCACCTTCCCTTGTTTTAGCCTTGATGTCTGCACCTGTCTCCCCCAACCAGACTCACCAGCTTGGGCCAGGCATGTAGAAGACCTCAACGTGAGGAATAAATGAGCAAAGCTCTCTCCCTGATTCTAAGCTTTTCTGTCTGTTTTTCTCCTATTTGGGTGTCTCCCAGATCTGAGAGATTCTCTCCACCTTTCTGCGCATTTCTCCCTGCTCTTATGTCCCAACATCTCTTCCCATCTGTCACAATCTTCTAGAACAGCGGTTCTCAACCTGTGGGTCGCGACCCCTTTGGGGGTCGAATGACCCCTTCACAGGGGTCGCCTAAGACCATCGGAAAACAAAAAGATATTTACATTACGATTCATAACAGTAGCAAAATTACAGTTATAGAGTAGCAACGAAAATAATTTTATGGTTGGGAGTCACCACAACATGAGGAACTGTATTAAGGGGTCGCGGCATTAGGAAGGTTGAGAACCGCTGTTCTAGAATCTCCAAATGTATCTTTGTGACCATATTTCTTTGACAGACATCCCATTTTGAATCTATATCTCTCCGTGTATCTCTGAAAAATCTCTCTAGGTCTCTTTCTTAGTATCTCTGAGTGTTTCTCTCAAGTCTCTGAGCATCTCCTCTGTCTCTGAGCGTCTCTCTGAGTCTCTCCCCTCTAAAGACCATCAGGAATACACTAGGAGACTGGCACAGTTTGGTTTTGTTGACTTGCTGTAGCTAAGGAGAGAGGGTCACAGAAGGAGCACTGGCTGTCTCTCCAAACACAGGGGGAGCGTGATAGGATTTTTAGGAAAGATGGCATTTACATTAAATTTAAATGAAACAAATTTTGATGTGCTCAAGTCAAAGCAGGCCTTGCAGAAAGGAATTAATGGGGAAGCCTGGTCTGAGAATCCCATCCAGGGCCTGTGCCTTACAAACTGCAGAGTTAAGATAAACGTAGGATGTACAGTTGACCCTTGAAGAACACAGGGGTTAGGGGTACCCATATTCCCCTCTCCCCTGGCCAGTGCAGTTGAAAATCCATGTATAACTTTTGACTCCCTCACAACTGAACTGCTATAGTCTGTTGTCTTGCTGATAACATAAACAGTTGGCTAACACATATTTTGTATGTTATATCTATTAAATACTGTATTCTTACAATAAAGTCAGCTATGCCTGACCACTGCGCTGTATACCTGAAACTAAAGTTAAATAACATTATATGTCAACTATAATATATATATATTATCTATATCTATATCTATATCTATATCTCTCTCTATATATATAGTCACGTGATATGGAGCACAGAATAGGGAATAGAGTCAATGGAATTGTAACAGCTATATACAATGTTAGAGGGGCAATAGATTGGGGGAGGGGGGTTATCACTTTGTGAGGGGTGAAATGTCTAGTTCATTGTTTTGTACACCTGAAACTAATAAAAATAAATAAAGTCAGCTAGAGGAAAAAAATGTTATTGAGAAATCATAAGGAAGAGATAATACGTACATCATTTTATGCATTC